CCCCACAAGGACGGGGGGCGCGCCCAGGGGGTAGGGCACGCCCTCCACCCTTGTGGCTGGCTGGGGGGCCCCTCTGGTACTTTCTCCGCCTAATATTTTTTATATATTCCAAAAATATTCTTCGTGAAGTTTCAGGACCTTTGGAGTTTCGCAAAATAGGTCTCTAATATTTGCTCCTTTTCTAGTCCAGAATTCCAGCTTCCGGCATTCTCCCTCTTCATGTAAACCTTATAAAATAAGGGAGAAAAGGCATAAGTATTGTGATATAATGTGTAATAAAAACCCATGATGTAATAAATATCCACATAAAATCATGATGCAAAATGGACGTATCAGACACCATCATGGAGGGGTTCATCATCCTCATTGGTGCCTCTCCGATGATGCGTGAGTAGTTCATTGTAAACCTACGGGTCCGTAGGCAGTAGCTAGTGGGAATACTAGTTGTGCATCCAAAATCCTTAAACTCAGTTTTGCCATATGAGTCCACCATACCTACCAATATGCGGTATTTTCGTGTCGTTCTAAGCAAATTTGTATGCGCCATCTCTAATCTTCAAAATAAATTTCCTTTTTGTGTGCTCGTACCGCTCATGAAACGGTAGGGGATGACTGATATTTTTCCATCCTAGATGTGTTATTCTCAAGATGAGTGTTTATTCACTTGTCATTGCACAAGAGTACGGCAATGGTATTAGGGATGCCCAGTCCCGAAATGAAAAATGAATTTACTTTATCTTGTCAAATAATAAATTCCTTGGAAAGTGTTGGTATGGACGGTACTTGTGGATTTGGTTAGCCGTGGAATGTGAAAGTATGGTGGAAAAAGGAATAAACTTTAATTTCTATTTGGGAACCGCCTATGGTATATCTAGCATGGAAAGTATTGGGAACTACTCAATCGTTTTTGTTGAGAGGAAAAGCATGCCACCCAAAATGTTTTATCTCTTAATTTTTTGTTTTGAGCTCTGGCACCTCTACAAATCCCTACTTCCCTCTGTGAAGGGCCTTTCTATTTACTTTATGCAATTTTTATTTTTTCAGTCTTAATCTTCTCTTATAAAGCACCAACTAAGGGGCACTATGATCGTACTTGAGCATTAGGTGTAGCTAATATGCGAGTGTGTTTCATGAATGGATCAATGAATGAGCATGATGGGCTAGGCATAACTTGCTTTAGTGTTGATATTTTGAAAGACATGGTTTCTTGTTGATATGCTTGAGTATTGAAATCTTTATGTCAAAACTAGACTATTTCTTTGAACCATATAAAAGTCCATATGTCCATGCTACAAAAGAAAAGAATGTGATGAACATGATAGGCAGCATTCCACGTCAAAAAGTCGCACTGGGACAGTGTTCGGCCGATGATAGTTCAGGAATATCAGCGGAATCCAGGCTCAAGGCCAGATCTAAGGCAGGGGCATTCGCAGTGATGGGGTACACCATGCCCGAAGTCAAAGCCTCGGGGTTCGCTGACTCTTCAAGCGGAGCTAAGAACTTTGTCAGAATAAGATCTCCCCGGGAGTCAGCAATGAACTCTAGGCTCCCAAACCCAACCTCCTGGTCGGGGGTGAAACTTCTGACCTGGCCGAGGCGGCCGGTCAGATCGGCGTGCAACACAATCCTGCCAAACGCGAAGATCTGCCTGAGGACGAAAACGTCCCCATTGTAGATGTCGCTGCTGATGGCTAGGCGGGCCATTGATTCTTTGGTGATCTCATAGTAGAACTCTCAATGAAAGCACTAATGTTGGTGTCAAAACCGGCAGATCTCGGGTAGGGGGTCCCGAGCTGTGGGTCTTGGATCGATGGGGAATAGGAAACACATGGACATTATTTACCCTGGTTCGGGCCCTCCCGAAGAGGTAAAACCCTAAGCCATGCTTGATTATATTGATGTGTATACGATGTTTACATAGTTGATCTACCTCGAGATCGGATGAACTAAACCCTAGATGAGTAGGATGGTGGTTCTTCTTCTTGCCTCTACATACTAAACCCTCTGGTTTATATAGACACCGGAGGTACTTAGGATTACACATAGTCGGTTGCCAACAATAAACATGCCAATCCTTCCATCTTGACTTGGGGACACTCCAAGGCTTCGGAGGTTTTCCTTCTTGAATACAGAGTCGCCTTATAGTTCGGCTTTCCGATAATAGTTGTAGAGCAGCCTACCTGTCCGGCCCATAGGATTACACCGACAGCCCGAGGACCCCATAATCCCAGACGCCCTCACCGTTTAGTTACGAGAGCAGGCCGGCCTTTGGCCTTCCACTCCGTTATTAATGCGATCGACAAGGGGGTATTTTATATCGGGGCTGTGCGGCTACAATGCTTTGCTGACACATGCGATAACACATCAATGTAGTAGTCCACTTCCCGCATTTCTGAAGCTTAGACGACGCTATCACTTGTTTCAAGAAAAATTGATGGTGTATAAGAGCAAGTACAATAAGGTGACATAAACAGGTTGTAAGACATACCACATCCATTTTTTGCCTAGTTGAGTAGAGAGAACTTTGTGAGAGAAAAAAAGTAAGCCACATATTAAAAACATAGCATACCAGTATAATCAATTATTACATAAATGAGCTATTAAGGTTGACTAAATGCAACGTGGCAACTTCGTATTGTTGGCTATACACCGCTCCTGCTCTGAGCCGGCCGATCAGACCGGAGATCGGTTTCAGGAACGGTGGAACAGAGGACGCCGCTATGGGCACACACCTTCAACTTTTAGTTTGAGTCAATTGCACCGGTGGTGTTAGAACTTGTCGTGAACGGTCACTTTGGTGCTAGAACTTGTGGCATACATCAAACTAGTGTAAAAACTTGGCTTGGGCGTGCAGATACGGTATAAATCGTGTTTGGATACGAAAGCGACCTTGACTAGGCTCACTTGCATGGAGCAGGGTCCCGCTGTCAGCCACCAGATGACATGAGGCCTGTTATTTTACCAAAAAGAAACTCAAATTTTTTTATCCTCACGAACTAGCCCGTGGCACGTGTCAAAATGTTGGCCATATGGGTTCCATGTGTCAGCCACACATAAATTATATAAAAAAATAGCGCGACTGCGAATCGAACCATGTAGGTTTGCTAGCTTCCGCCAATGGTTAACCACGGCTAGACTTTCTTGTTTTGACAGGATACGTCATGTATATATCCTTCACGTCCTATGTGGGCTGCACTTGGTGGGACCCCCATTTTGCAGTGTTATTTTTTATAAAATCTATTTATACTATAATCATGTGTTACAAAAAATATACATAGTAGTAAAATAAATTAAATTATAAAAATGAGCACCTTATATGCATAATATTTTATTAAAACTGTGAACATTTTAAACATATATGAGCATTTATTGAATATATAAAACATAGAAATTCCATTTCATGTTTTGTGAATTATGCAAATTATAATGTGAATACTTTTGTAATCTATAATTCGAATATATGGATGCAATTTTAAATAATAAGTGAATAATTTATAATTTAATTGTTTAGATATATATATATATATTATTTATAACATTTGATTATAATTTACATATATTATGTAAACTTAACAAAAGTAATAGTGCAAATGGGCCGCATGAAGTGCATTCCCTTATAATATTTAACAGGATATAAAAAAATTCTTAAAACATGAATCAATCAATATTTTGTGAAAACTCTGAACATTTTTTAACTTATATAAGCATTTACTGAAATATACGGAAAAATATAAAATAAATTTGACATATTTTATTCATATGCATATTATGAATATTTCTGTAATTTATAATTTAATCATAGGGATAAATTTTAAATTAATACGTCAATATTTTATAATGTGATTTATTTTATGTATATTACTTATAATATAGTACTAGATTTTACTTATATATATTCTACAGCTTTCTAAAAAAAGAGTGCAAAATTGGCTTTATTTGTATTGTTTTACAGTATAAAAACATTTTTATAGTTCATAAATATTATTTTAGATAGATGCATAATTTTAAAATAATACGTGAACTATTTTCTAAAGAATTTCTTCCGTTTTATGTATTATTTATACTGCAAGAATAATTAAACTTTATTTTTATTAGTGAGATTAGAATTTACATACCTTTACGTACTTCTAAAAAGACAAACTCCAGGAGCGACTTTGTTCTACTACATTACAAAGGACTTACGAACTATAGGTGTGATGACGTTGTTGGTGCAGTGGCTATGACCGGTTGTTTCCCACCTATTCCCTCCGTTTCAAATTACTCGTCACAGAAATGAATGTATCTAGAACTAAAATACATCTAAATACATCCATATCTGCGACAAGTAATTTGAAACGGAGGCAGTATATGATAGCAAGTTTGAGTTTTTCTTTCAAATTTCCATATTATACTAACAGGCGGGACGGGCTTTCGACAGAGACAGAAAACATGCCAACACTCCAACATGAGAAGGAGCTCTTATGTGAAAATAAAAAATAAAAATCAAGAATGTTTTCGTGAAAAACAGACACACGCCCTCCTTCCTCCCTTCCTGTCACTGACAGCGGGACCTGCACCATGCATGGGAGCTTCGTATTCAAACGTGATTTGCATCGTATTTGTACGATCGAGCTAAGTTTTTACACCACTTCGATGTATGCCGTAAGTTCTAGCACCAAAATGATTGTTCACGACAAGTTCTGGCACCATTGGTGTAATTGACTCTTTCAGTTTCGTGGCACTGACAGACACTCAACTCAGTCGCGCTTCTGAGCGAGAACTATTTTTGTCCAAAACATTACAGTCATTTCCCTCGCACACATTTGATTCCAGAAGGAAACAAGGAAGCTCGACAAAAATCAATTACTAATACACAGTACAAATGTCACTTGATCAGTCCTAATGTAACAGAAGCGTATGTACTTCTCTGTACAGACCATCTGAGCTGAACACCGCCGCCGCCGGCGCTCACCTGAAACTGCAGCAAAACCACACTACCACTAGGAATCTCTCGCCGTCGGTCACAAGCAGCAGAGTGGGCACCGGACGAGCCCGTTCTCGTTGCAGTCGGGGCACCGCCGGAAGCTGTCCAGCTCCTCTAGGAACACCTTGCAGCTGCCGGAGCACTCCTCGCACGGCACGAACCGGACGCCGCCGCACCCGGAGCACGCCTCCAGCGCGGCGCCCTTGCCGCCCGCGCTCGGCGGCGCCATCTCGCAGGCCTCCAGCGCCCTGGACAGCTCCCCGGCCTCGTGCAAGCGGCGGACCTCCTCGGCGCCGCCCAGGTGCTCGCCGTCCACGAACACCTGGGGCAGCCTCCCCGCGGAGCCCAGCGAGGCGTGGAGCTCGTCCTTGAACCCGCCGTGCAGCGACAGGTCGCGCTCGTCGATGCGCACGCCGTAGCCGTGGAGGATGGACTTGGTGGCCCAGCAGTCCTCAAACGTCTTGCGGATGCCGCGCAGGCTGGTCAGGTACAGCACCACCTTCCGCTGGCTGTCCGGCGGGGGAGGCAGCTGCGGCTGCGGCGGCTGAGGCGGAGAAGGAGGCGGGGACGTGGGTGTGGGCGTGGGCGTGGGTGGGCGCGCCAACTTGGCGAGCTTCGCGTCGATCCTCTGCTGGAACGCGCTGACCCGCGCGCGCACGATGCCAGGGAACCTCTGGATTTCGCGCTTCTTGACGCACTCGCCGTTGCCCTCGTAGTCCCGCGGCGGCGAAGCCTCGCCGAGCGCCTTGCGGAACTCCGAAATGACTTCCGGATCGAACTCCGGCGACCCCGGCGGCGACTGCTCCCCGCGCTCATCCTCGGCGCCCTCGGCCGCATCGCGCTCCTCGTGCTTGTTGTCGTCGAGGCCCTCCATGAGCTCCCACACATTGATCACCTCGGGCTCGCGGACGGGCGTCTTGGTCGGCGTGCCGACCACCTGCCGCTGCCGCCTCGCCAGCTGCGGCTGCGGGGGCGGCGCCGGCGTGGCGGCCTTGCCCTTGGCCGCGCCGCCGAAGCTGCCGGCGCGCCACTTCATCATCTCCTCGTCCCGGTCCAGGCTGAGCGAGCCGAGCGTGGAGGACTTGAGCGCGACGGTGTGGTGCGCCGCCCCGGCGGCCGCCGGGCCGGAGCGGCTCCGCCCGAAGGACTTCCGGAGGCCGCCCTGCAGCGCGTGCCTGGAGCCCGTGCAGCCCATCCACCGCGTCCCCCACTACCCACTACCCAATCCAGCAACCAATCAAGACCCCGATCAGCGCCACTGCCGCGTCGCCGACCAATCCAACACAGAAGCCACCCAAACGCGCTGGGACAAAGAAGAGATGGACCAGGCCAGAGCAATGCCACCAACCGAGACGAGGGGAACCGGCACCGACTGATCGTGGATCGCGGCCAGCGGGGCGGGAGCTGAGCCTAGGCGATCTCGGCGGCGAGGCGGGGGCGGGGCGAGATCTGAGCAGAGGTGGGGCGCGCGGGCGGGGAGGTGCCTGCGACGGGGGGGAACGGGAGTGGGAAAGGCGAGCGCTTTATGCCGCGGAAGCAAGGAGCGTTCCGGGTCACGGGGTAGGCGCGTTACGCGTATTAACTCGCGCGTTATCTACCGGTTGGGGCCGGGCGGTGGTGGTGGTGGAGTTCCCGGCCGCGTCAGTCAGTCAGTCAGGTCAGGCGATGGAGAGTGGAGGGTGGATGGAATCATTGCCTCGCACGTCTCAGTGAGCAGTGGTGTCTTCGGCGATGGGATGATCGGCTGGAGCTGGGGTTATCCGCGTCGGATCGAGCGACGGAACCTTGGTCCGGCGGCTGAAAATTCGGGGGCCCGTGCATCGGACTCCGGGGCGCACGTTGCGCGGCTGCCTGGGGGCGAGGAACACACGTTTCTTTTTTTTTCGAATGTTGGTAGTAGTTCTACCAAATTCATTGATCAGAGGAAAAGTTTGATCCAGTTTATGAGGGAAACCGGACCCAAAAACCATTCAAATGGTGCCTTTCGGCATACAACAAACACACCTTCACGAGCTACGGGTCCCCCTAATCAGATCCACCTTCAGGACGATGCCCCAAGAGGGAACGCGACGCCAGATAGCGCCGCCATCGTCCGATCTAAACTAGATTAAAGGTTTCCCCCGGAGCACGACAGGAAAAGCAAGGTGGGAGCAGCTACATCGATGCCTCCAACGAGGGAACGACGCCAGAAGGCGCCGCCATCGACGACTCCAGACACAGCCGGAGTACGACTTTCGCCGGCCGTCTCACCTACACAGCTCGAGTCCAGGATCTGATCAGCCTACACATCAAACCACTACCCCTGCCTCCACGGCCAACCGCACCTCCCCGGCAAGCAAGACGTGCTTTCCACCTTGCATCCGCGTCTCCCACTGGACGGAGGATGCAACTCCCGCAGCGGCGCCATTCTTCTCCCATCGAAAGAATGCAATCAAGCAGGACGCCATTCGTCTCCTCGAGGATGCAACGTCTGCCGGCCATTCATCTCCCGACGAAGGATGCAACAACCACCACGACGCCATTCCTCTCCCTCCAGCCATCACCCATCTCGTTCTCTCACCCGCAGCAGCATCAAGCTTTCCGAACCACCATCAGGAGGATGCAACACCGAGCAAGGGTGCCATTCGTCTCCCACCACTTCTCCCGCACGGTTTATGGTCAGCAGCAACGCCGACCCCGTCGCCAGCCAAGCCGCCTCCTGACCCCCAGCCGCCAGATCCGACCGCGTCCAAGCCAGGGGCCGTCCTCCAGGGGGAGCCCGCGTCCTCCCGCAGCATCTCACGGCAGCGACGCGCGCGGCCGCGCCGCCATGCTGCCACTAGTGCTCGCAAGCCGCACGGGCCGCGCCGCCCCTGCGCCCACAAGCCGCGCGGGCTATGCCCAGCAACTCCACCGCGCAGCCGCGCGCACACGAGCAGCCCGATGGGCGCCCCGCCAGCCGCCTCCATCTCCCCGTCGCGGATGCGCACCGACCAGATCTGGGCCGCGCAGAGCTCCCCGACGCGACACGCCGCCGTCCTCCTCGTCGTGATGCACCGGCAAGGACTAGCGCCCCGCCGCCGCCTTCCTTGGGGCCGGCCCGGACTTTGCCGGTGGGCGCCCTCTGGCGGCGGCGCGGCTGGAGGGAGGAAGGGGGGAGAAGGTGGCGGCGCTAGGTTTTCTCCCCCGTGTCGCCAGAGCGAGGCGACGCGGGGTTTCTTGCCCGGTCTGAACACACGTTTCTCAGTGCTGATTAGACTGTCAATTCGGTAGTGGACTGACTAGGTACGTACGTTAGTCACCTCAGCGACCTACGATTTTGGATTTTCTTTTTCTTTTTCACGCGCCATCTGTTTCCTGGTCGACGATCGGCGGCCTCGTGAACTGATGATGGCCACTGACGATGTGTGGGTGTGGGTGTGGACTTCACTTCACTTGATGCCGAGATCGCGTGGTACTGAAACTTGCTGCAAAGATGGGATGGCATGGGTGCATGGACCATGTATTGGCAGCGCGCCTCGTAGGTTCGAAACCTGTCCTCGTCGGCGCAATGCCACGGTTCTCTCTTCTCTTTCTCCACAAGGGAGCTCGGCGGTGGTGCGTACGGCACGCATTCCGGGGGGAGAAGGCGTCGGCGTCGGCGTCGGCGGCAGGAAACGTATTGCTACGTGCAGTCCAGAGTCCGGACCAACCGACGCCCACCGGCGACCGAAAGCTCTGCCGCGGAACCGGCCAAAGCTTCTACACAGTCCGGCAGCCGCGACGTCCCTCTCTCTTCAGTCTCATCTACCACTGCTTCAGCGCTTCACTGCCACGACACAGTTTCTTCCGTTTTTACCTTTGAACCGTTCTGCTTCGGTGCACCGACGCCAACTTAGAGCAACTTTAACGGGCGGCTTCGTCCGCCGTCGTTTGTTTGGATCGACGCGGACAAAAAAATCGATCCAACGTGTCGACCTGAACGGACGTGCGTCCATTTTTTTCCTCCCGCCGATCTATTTCTGGCTCTTTTTTGAGCCGTATTTGTGTCGGCGCGGACACGAGACGGACGCGCGCGCGTTCGCCCTCTCTTCTCTCCGGACCCGTTGATTGGTGGCACATTGGCCTCTCCACATCCAACAGCACAACCTCGCTCGCCTGCCTCATCGTCGACGCCGCCGGCCATTTTTTCCGATAGAAAAGGATACATAGATACTTCTAGCGTACACAGATAAAAGAAAAGACCAACTACTCGTCGCTTCCCGACTCCGACTCGGTAATGTCCTTCTCCGACATCTGAATGTAGACGTCAGCATACTGCTCGTCCTCGAAGTCCCACCCCGATGTTTCTCGTAGTTTCAGTTTCAATTGAGCGACCTGCTTCCGCGCATGCTTGTCCTCCCGATAGGCGGCTCGCTCTGTTCTCCTCGCCTCCCTCTCCGTTTTTCTTTGCTTATAGAACTGGCGCTCATCGACGATGTCCTGAGGGAAGTGTTCGTGCCACACCACCATGGCTTTCACGTCCATCTCGGTGATGGCAAGGCGACGCTGCCGCCTCCGATGGACACGACGATCTCCGTCGGTGAAAAGCCGCGGGAGAGGCGCGAGATCCTGCGCCCGCTGGCTGGATACGTCGGGAAAATTCATCTCCTGACGAGGCCTCAAGAGGCGCCATGCCGCCTCCTCTGCGGTGTCGAAGGTGCCGAGGATGAGGCGTTTCTCACCAAACCAAATCTCGGAGGAGAAGGCGCCGGAGCGGCGCTCGCGGACTTCGCGAAAATCCGAAACGCCCAGGCGGCGAATCGACATGGTGACGCAGAGGCGACGAGACTTGTGGGGCGAGACGAGTAGGCGGCGAACAGAGTGTGGAGGGAGCGCCTTCTTATAACGAGCGCCGACCGCGGTGCGCGCGCAAACCTTTCCCGCACGCTGGAGCGCCAAAACCAGCGCGCGCTAGGCCGATTTTCCCGCGCGCTGGAGCGCCAAAATCAGGACGACGAGACGGCTGCTAGCATCATCTAAGCACGCGCGGTTATAAAATGAGTCGACGCGTTGGGCGCACTGCCGACCCTAAGCTATAAAAGGGCGGACGTCGGGCGGACGGCCGACCCAAACGAACAAAAAGCAGATAAAAGTGTCGTCCGTTTGGATCGGCCTGTTGGAGTTGCTCGTAGAGAGGCCGAACCTTGACCCGGATAGGTTCACAGTATTCTGATCGAGAAGATCGCGGTGTTGGTTGGTGGTGACCGGTTATAGCTGAAGGAAGACTTTTTTTTCTTTTGAAAACTAGCTGAAGGAAGACTGGGACTGCTGGGGAGGTTCCTTCCGGGAGAGGGGTGTGGTTTTGGCGCGTGGGTGGCATGTCACAAGTCACCTGCCGCGGCCCGTCTCGTCGCCAGGGTCGGTGGTTTGTCCGATTCCCGCTTTTGTTTTGTGCGCTGCGCACGGCACTTCCAGATTAACCACCAAAGCATTTCGCGCGTAGTATTCTTTAGCTCGTGCTCCCGACGCGACGGGCGGCCATATTTTTACTCCCCGGTCAGGGGCAGCTCGCGCCCGGAGTCACCCGCCGAATCCACCGGATTGGAGCTGATCGCGACGGGCGATCGTGACCGTTCGTCTTGTCGCGCAGGCAGGTGGACCTCGACACACGTCAGAGTAAGTTCCATACAGGCTCGCCGAGTGCTGCTGGACACCTGAACTGCAGAGAAGTCGCGTAGGCCGTCGCTTGCCAAGCCACAGTTTCTTCTTCTTCTTCTTCTTCCTCCTCCTCCTCCGTCGGTTCTGAAGTTTCTTCGGCCAACTTGGGAAGCATCACAAACAGGTGAACATGGAAGCAGATCCTCTAATAAATCCGGGCACGAGCGCACGTTCTCCAATGCCAAAACCTCTGTGCCTTCGACAACTGCCAGCTCAACCGGCGCCTCTCGTTCGCAGGAAATCAAAACCGTCGCGATCATCGAATAATTAGGCTGATTGCGATTACTACTACTAGTAGTAGTAGTACCATTAGTTATGGCACTATTTATCATTGGCGGCTTCCATCCTGAATTTGGAAGGGGAATGATGCCCGCGCCAAAAGGCGACGTCCAAAGTGCACTGGACTGGAGTGGTGGTGCTGCCGGACGTGGCCGGCCGGCCGTGTGGGCGAGCAGACCACTCGCCGCTGGTACAACTCACTCGATCCATCCTGCCGCCTTTCCTTTCTTTCCAGCTCGAGCTGCCGGTTAGACTACG